TATTCACTAACATTTCTTTTAAAATGGAGAGAGAGACAGGAGAGTTATTCAAGTAAAAAACTTATTAGAGTTGGTAGCAATGCACATCTTGTACCAACATCTTTGATCCTTCTTTCCTTGCACTATGGCAAATCCTACGATTTGTTGAGAATCGTTCCTTTTCAGAACTTACTAAAGCTCTCCTTAATGTCGCATTCTTGATTCTATAACTCTTAAATCTTATAAAAGGAATTTTTATGTTTTATTTTATTTTTTATTAAATCTAAATAACTCACCAGAATAAACTTAAGAAAAAAAAAGAATTTAAAGCACTATAGAAAAAAAATTCATGTTTTTCCTCGATTGAATAATGATAATTGGAAAAGCAAGCATCATAAAAATACATATCACTCAACCAAAGAAAGATGATGAAGGGTTATGGGTCCTATCCCAGAGATAGGCTCGGTGGAATAGATATGTTTACGGAAATGTGAATTAATTATACTTTGATAAAAAGATTTTATGAAATATGTTTGAGACAGATATATAATATAATTTAACTCATTTTGAATTATAACTTCATAGCCACACATGTTTGATAATCCATTAATTACTGATTTCGTGCATTAGGTTCAAGTTATTTTTAAAGTTAACAAGTAAATTGTTAATAAAATGAATAAAATTAACATAAATTGTTGATAAAATGAGTAATTTAATATATTATATGATGCTTGGAGCTCCAAATTTGTACATTAATTGAAGTACATATACAATTTAATATAAATGGAAAAGCAAATTATATTATTTATTATCAAAACAGATACTCAAAAAAAATTTGTAAGAAAATATAATTAGTGAGTGTCTTATTTAATATCAACATATATATACTCATAAAAGTTTTGTAAAAAATATATATAACCAGATTTTCAATTTTCAATGATAAGACGAATTTGACATAAATGTAAAAGTGTAGAAATATTTTTAGATATGATTTATATGTTTGATATATAATTAAATAAATTTATTTATGTATATAATTTTATGACTATAGATTTTGTACTTCAACTTGTGAAGAAAGAAATAAAAAATATTTAACTTGAGTTGGACATGACATTAATATAGAATTAGGATGTTATATTTATTTAAATTTCTATTATATTTTCTATTAAATTCTTATTATATGGAATTAAAACTTAACCTGAATTCAAAGTTAATATATTTATTAATCCGTATAAATAAACTCTTTTAAATATAATATATATGATAAAAACTATTAATTATATACAAATTATTAATTAATATTTTTCTAAAATACAACTATAATCATAGAGATAATTTAATGTTGCAATTGTACATATATAATAGTTTTTTTAAGGACTTATTTGATGGAATTAATTGTCCTTTTTTTTATAGAAAAGGAAACAAAACAAAAGAAAATAACAAAAACAATAATCACACAATCAATATGTCGAAACAATATCACAATAGTCCAGACATAAGTAGACTTTAAGATTGTTAGAAGGGTAGACCAGCCTCTTATGGTTTAAGGGGATGTCACGAGCCCAAGATGCCAAACGATCAACACAACTTTTTCCCTCCTTGTGGAAATCGTGAGATTTGAATGTTTCACTCTTATTAAAGAACTAATTCGATGTTCCTGGATGTATTGATGTGATCCTAGACAGCCAAAATTATTTCTAAATATCCAATTCTGCACCAAAGAAGAACCTCTTGAAAAACCGAACTCCTACGAAATGATTATCTGCAAGTACGTTACAGTAAAAGACATGCACACTCAAGTCTCGCATGTCTCCTCCCAATCAGGAAAGCAATGTCAACATCTTTTTGTTTTCTAAACGGGATTGTCCAAAATAAAAAAGTAATTTCATCTATGACTACTTTTTTAATTGGGATTATTACAAGAAACGGGTTAAGTTTGTCCAAATAAAACTTAAGATCCAAGTAAAATTAATGGATTTGAAGAATCAAAAGAAAAAAACTCACTTTTAACCCAACCTAAGAGGGCTTCAAGGCCATATGACCAAAGTGGGTCACGACCCAAGAAGACCAAATCCAAAGGCAAAAAGTCAGCCCATGTTGTGCCTTAGGAAGGCCCGTACACATGTGCGGATAAGGCTCCTCGCATTCATAGTGCGCACACACATGTGCACAAAGGGAAGCCCACATGCACACACCAGCACGCACGTGTGCTGGCCATCCAGCCCACGCCCAATAAGGGTGCACACGTGTGGCCCAAGCCCACACCCCTGCAGTAAACCCATATGGCCCATAAGCCTACTTGACGCACAAGCTCAACTCGTGGCCTATCTCGCACGACCCGTGCGGGTCGGCCCAACCCGCACGGTTGCCCTAACCCGTGACCCATTGGCCCTTACCCACCTTTTAATTAATTTATTTTATTATTTTTAATTTTTAAAGTTTTTGGACCCTACCTTTTAATTTTTCATGTTTTTAATTTAATTTCTACATGTTTTAAACAACTTTTTCATATGTTTTACATGAAAATCACATGAGATAAAATTTATATTATTTTAATGTAAATTCTATCTATATGATTATCTAATTAATTATCTTGTATTTAAATGAGATAGAATAAATATTTTATTATGTAATTATCATAAAATTTTATTTAAAATATTATTTTATTAATTTCTTCAAGATATTATAATCATCTAGAATTATCCTAGGAAAGATTATAAATAGGTCTTTGTTGATGAGTTGTAATCACAATCAATTTGAGAAATATTCTTGAAAATTTAAGTTTTTCTTTAATTAGCATTTTTGTTAATTTTTAGATTTTTTAAGTTCTTTAAGAAGTAGACGTCTTAAGAAGTTTTGTTGAATCAATGAGTAGGGATTAACTTATCGGTAAGTTCGCGATATTTTTCTTTTTCTTATTTTATTTTTCTATTTTTTATTTTTGCATTCTTTTTAAAATTGTAGATTCAATCAGAGTGAGTGATTTTCTAAACAGTTAAATTTCAATATTACATATGTTAAGTAAGTTATAAGAGTTGATTTGATCATCCTCATATCCTCCCACGTCACATATTCAAGACTACGTTGCAGGGATCTACATGGTTAGGAGCGTTTATTTAAGGTATAAGGAATCACCTTAATAATTAGCTTTCATATCCCAATATTCCAAGCCAACTTGAGATCCTCTTTAACCCAATAAAGCTTAGCCTACAAAGCTTTACTAGTACGAATATTATACAAAAATTCATCCACTCAATAATCCTTATCATCACGAATGATGCCCCAAACAGTGGCATACCTCGAGTCACCCTTGGCAGAGCATCCATATAAAGCTTAAATAAACAAAAGGGATGAGCCTACAAACCCACAAAAGGAAGGTTGTCACCCACCTAAGGAGTACACCCTGCTTGATAATCCAAAACCAAGTGAATAACCTTAAAACTCGTAAGAGGGACCAAACATTCAATAGGCTCAAAGATGTTATCCTTCTTATTCTTCCAAGTAAACTGTTCGGTGATGAGAAAGATCAATTATCAACTAGTTATATCATGAGCACTAATGTAAATGTTTAGATTCTAGAGAATGCATTTATAAAAAAAAAAAAAAAAAAACATGTTAGAGTACTTAAAAATTAATCAAATTCTGGTATATCTATCTACTTATAATATAGTAACGTATAACATGATTGGTATCCTCTCCACTAATAGTGCACCACGAGTATTTATCATAAATAACAATGCATACACACTTATTTTGTCACATTAGTGAACAACTGATTGGACATCATCACTAATATAAAATGGCAGACTCTCTCGGGAATAGAAAGTCTCCAACTTGTTTTTCATTTAGTATTGCATCTACGTTTCAAAGTAAGGCATAAAAGGCAGTAAGTGGTCCTGACAAAAAAATTTCCATTATTAACACCTTCTATTAGGGAGGAATACTCTGCCATTGTTCTTTCTAAACGATCATCAAGTATTCAGGACTGTAGGAGGTAGATTAACAGGCGATTACCAATTCAGAGATATTTCTAAAAGTTAGTGACAATTCCATCGTTAATATCCCATCTAATTCTTTTGCTCTTAAGGAAGTAGAGATTTTGCAAGAGTTGTTTCCAAGTTATTAAGCCATAAATGGGGTAAGTTATCAAGATTGCTAATCGATCTTATGGAAAATACTTAGCCTGAAGAACTTAGACTTAGAAATTAGAAGGTTCAGTGGTGAGATGTCATCCAAGCTTCACGAGAAATGCCTTGTTTTGTCGGGATGTGCTCTAAATCCCTAAGCCCCTTAATTTCTTAGTCTGACAAATTCGATCTAAGCTCATTATATTAATCTTATGATATCATGATTTTTTCAAACTCAATTGTAATGATATTATATTATTTGAGTAACATCTATGACACATTATGATTTGAATTAAGAATTCTAAATAAAATCTTTAATTAAATAATTTTTTACTCGTGAAATCATTTTATATAATATATACGTGCTAATATTTTGAAAAGACTTACATAGATGATCCAAGTGATTAAATTATTCACACCTACCCCACGTTGTTAATTCTTTAATACTTTTCTAAAGTTAAAATTATAGATCCAGGTGAAAACATTTTATATATTACCGAGTATAAGATGTTAGACCTTACTTATCTCGCAATTAACTAGTTATACATGTAACTAATAAAAAATTAATTATATATTTAGTGGTAATTTGTCCAAACTATTTAAAATCCCATGTGCAATGCGGATTAGAATATGCTTCTCTATATCAGAATCTTGCCCTCCAAAAGAAAATGATTTCAGCGCGTGAGAACAATCGCGCTGACAAACACTGCGGTTTCCTCACACACTGGATAGAGGAGCCAATTTGAAACATTTGAAACGTGTCGCAATCAGACGAAACGGAGCGCAGAAGGTGACAGAATCCGGATGTAACGGACAAAAACAACAATATGATTGGTCAGTGTTTTTAAAACTCCAACTTCCCCGGGTGTCTTTATCGTTTCCCGAGTGGATTATATTTTATGAACAGTTTTATTATTATAAAGGGGAAGGGGAAGAGAGAGGCTGCGAGAAACACAACCGAACCAAACAAACGAACAAAGCAAAACATATCTCCAAACTCTCAACGGTTTTTGGGTGAGTTGAGTTCTCCTTCGTTTCTTACCACACAACCTCTTTTTCCTGTTCAGACAACCTCGCATTTCTTACAAAGGTTGTTTTTTTTTTAATTATCCTAAACTTTTTTTTTGGGAAAATTATTTTGGTTGCAGGTGAAAAATGGAGAGTAAAGAAGAAGTTATTTCTGTTGAGCTTCCAGCACCTCCTGCTTGGAAGAAAATGGTTTGTGTTTCTTTTCCAGCTTTTCCCACTTTTACTCTTACCTTTTTATATGTTTATATTTGTATGTATATGTCTGTGTTCTGCTTTTGCTTTTTGTTGTGTGTTCTTCTTGGTTTTTTGAGTTCATGAAAGCTCCTGTCTTGGAGCTGTTTAGGGGTAATTTTTTTTCTGGGTTTACGTTAATTTTTGGAAGTTTATGGTTTTTTGAGGATTACATGGTGTAATTCAAGTTGGTAGTTTTGTTATTGG